ATTTTGATAGGGAGAAGTGTGAATCAGGTATTGCACATCAGTCATGCAAGAATAGAAAGGCTCCCAAAAAGAGAAGCTACCTTCTGGTAGGTGATTCAATTATAAGGGATGTAAATTTAGGAAAGGACACAGAGGCTTTGAAAGAGGTCAGGTGTCTTCCAGGTGCTACTGCCAGTAGGGACAAGAAGCGTATTTCTAAAATAATCAAGAATGGCAGCAAGGACTGTGATGTGGAGGCTATTGTACACCTTGGCACTAATGATCTGTCCCAAAAAGATGTACTCTCTGTGCAGAATGATTTCCAGAGCTTGGGGAAGGAACTTAGCAGAATAGGCTGTAGGCTTACTTTCTCAGAGGTTTTACCAGTGTATAAGGAGCAAAACGGAAAAGGCCAGCGCATAGCACAATTCAATATGTGGCTAAAGGACTGGTGTAAAGGGGAAGGCTTTGGATATATTAGTCACGATGTCAGTAGCTGGTCCAATCAAAAGATGTACAAAAGAGATGGTTTGCATCCATCAAAAAAAGGGACTGAGTTACTCGGCTATAAATTCACAGATTTTCTGGAGGGAAATTTAAACTAAACAGCGGGGACAGGGAGTTAATTGATACGGAACAACCCTGTCCCCGGCAATTTAAAAACTATAGGGCTATCAGTGCATGTAGCACAGATGTGTGTGTGGACAAGAATACCAACCTTGCTACCAATCAAAATGAAGCCTCTAATAGCGAGTGCCATATAAAGTGCACTAACCAAATAGGTGGTAAGACAATAGGGGAACTCAGGCACCACACAGGTTATGTAGAAAGGAAACACAGGGCCACCCACAAAGGACTCAAATGTTTATACACCAATGCACAAAGTATGAACAGCAAACAGGGTGAACTAGAAATTCAGGTTAATGAGGGCAGATACGATATTGTTGCCATTACGGAAACATGGTGGGATGAAACTCACACATGGAACACACAGCTAGAGGGATTTAAATTATTTAAAAGAAACAGACCAAATAAAAGAGGAGGTGGAGTTGCTCTCTATATAAGAAATAACTACATCTTCACAGAAATAGAGTACAACAATGATAAAAACTGTCTTGAATGCATTTGGGTCAATATAAAAGGGGGGGGGAATGACATTGCCATAGGTGTATACTACAGACCACCCAACCAAACAGAGGAAATAGATGAACTTTTTGCTAGTCAGCTAACTAAGGTATGTAGGAAGCACATCACAATAGTAATGGGGGACTTTAACTACCCTGACATCAACTGGGAGACAAACTCCGCACCAAGTGGAAGATCAAACAGGTTCCTGGCAAACCTAGCAGACAACTTTGTCTCCCAAAAAGTAGAGAATGGAACTAGGGGATTAGCCATTTTGGATCTAATTCTCACTAACAGAGATGAAATGATAGACGGTGTTGGAGCCATAGGAACCCTGGGAGGAAGTGATCATGCAATATTAGAATTCAACATTATAGAAGCACAACCAATAGAACACAGTCAAACTAGAGTCTTGGACTTCAAGAGAGCTAATTTCAATAAACTTAGAGAGGGCTTGGGAAGGATTCCATGGATGAGAATCCTCAAGGGGAAAACAACTCAAGAAGCTTGGGAAATTTTGAAAAAATGAGATAATAAAAGCACAGTCTAGCACAATACCAACAAAGAGGAAAAACAACAGCTCTCAAAAGAAACCAGCATGGCTGCATAAAGAACTCTCTGACAAATTGAAAGATAAAAAGGACAAGTATAGAAAGTGGAAAGAGGGGAACATAACTAAGTCAGAATATCAGCAAATAGCCCGAGCCTGCAAAGATGAAGTGAAGAAAGCCAAGGCTCAAAATGAACTGAGGCTTGCGACCAAAGTCAAAAATAACAAAAAAAGCTTCTTTCAACATGTAAAAAACAAGAAAAAAGTGAAGGAAATGATTGGTCCATTAGTGGGTGGAAGTGGCAAGAAGGTGACAAGCAACAGGGAGAAAGCAGAACTATTTAACTCATTTTTTGCATCTGTCTTTACACAAAGGGAAAAAACAGACCAACCTATCAAAAATAGTGCCACAAAAAACAAAACAGAAACACAAGTTAAGATAGGCAAGAAAATCGTTAGTGAGCACCTGTCCAGCCTAGATGAGTTCAAATCGCCAGGACCAGACGGATTACACCCCAGAGTTCTCAAGGAACTGGCAGATGTGATATCGGAGCCACTGAACTATATTTTTCAAAGATCCTGGAACACAGGGGAACTACCAGAGGACTGGAAAAGAGCTGATGTAGTTCCCATCCTCAAAAAAGGAAAAAAAATGGATCCAGGAAATTACAGACCTATCAGCCTGACCTCAATACCTGGGAAGATCCTGGAAAAGATAATCAAACAACGAATCAACGAACACCTAGAGGCAAACAAAGTCATTACTAAAAGCCAACATGGGTTTGTCAAAAATAGATCATGCCAGACAAATCTTATTGCATTCTTTGACCAAGTGACAAAATTAGTGGATCAGAGGAATGCTGTGGACATAATTTACTTGGACTTCAGTAAGGCATTTGATAAAGTAGATCACAACCTACTACTTGACAAGATAGAAAAATGTGGGGTAGACAGAACCACCACCAGATGGATCCGTAGCTGGCTGACCGGCCGTACTCAGCGAGTGGTCCTCAATGGAACTGCATCTATATGGAGGGAAGTGTGTAGTGGGGTGCCCCAGGGCTCTGTTCTGGGCCCAGTACTCTTCAACATCTTCATCAACGATTTGGATGAAGGGATAGATGGGGAACTCATCAAATTTGCAGACGACACCAAGCTGGCAGGAATAGCCAACACTCCAGAAGACAGGCTTAAGATACAGAAGGATCTGGACAGACTTGAACACTGGGCACTAACTAACAAAATGAAATTCAATGGTGAAAAAAGCAAGGTTCTACATTTAGGCAAGAAAAACCAAATGCACAAGTACAGCATAGGTGGCACCATGCTCAATAGTAGTAACTGTGAGAGGGACCTCGGAGTCCTAGTAGACAATCACTTAAATATGAGCCAGCAGTGTGCTGCAGCTGCCAAAAAGGCCAACACAGTGCTAGGCTGCATTAACAGAGGGATAGAATCAAGATCACGTGAAGTATTAATACCACTCTTCAATGCCTTGGTAAGGCCACACTTGGAATACTGCATCCAGTTTTGGTCACCACGATGTAAAAAAGATGTTGAGACTCTAGAAAGAGTACAGAGAAGAGCAACAAAGATGATTAGGGGACTGGAGGCTAAAACATATAAGGAACGGTTGCGAGAATTGGGTATGTCTAGTTTAACGAAGAGAAGGACAAGGGGGGACATGATAGCAGTATTCCAATATCTCAGGGGCTGCCATAAAGAAGAGGGAATTAAGCTATTTTCCAAAGCACCTGAAGGCAGGACAAGAAGCAACGGGTGGAAACTAATCAAGGAGAGAAGCAACCTAGAACTAAGGAGAAACTTCCTGACAGTGAGAACAATTAATCAGTGGAACAGCTTGCCTCCAGAAGCAGTAAATGCTCCAACACTGGAAGTTTTTAAGAAGAGACTGGACAGCCATTTGTCCGAAATGGTGTAGGGTTTCCTGCCCGAGCAGGGGGTTGGACTAGATGACCTCCAAGGTCCCTTCCAACTTTACTACTATTACTATTACTCTTTTTGCCTAAAAGAAAAACTAGTAATAAACAATCAGAAAACTAAACCATCAAAAACCATATCATATTTTGCATAAAGTTAAATAAATAAAATTAGCATAAAATTCATAATTGGCAGATTAAGGGAAATGCTGTTGACCAAATATATGCTTATCAAATACCTCAGAGTATTATTCCGGGCCTTGCTTTTCTGGATACTTTTTCTATCTGGGATGTGTTGTTCTGCATAGTTCTTTAGCTATCTGGAGGATTCAAAGGGGTCTTACTTGTTTGTAATAACCTTCTTTATAGGTAAGATCATTTCTCAGTAGTTATAGTACTGAGCACTACTGTAGTATATGTGCTATATCCTCACAGTTCTATAATGTATTATGAATGCAGATCTATGTTTAGAGACAGATTTTGTTTCCACACATGCTAGAAATGGATACTATCCTCTTAACCTTTGCCTAAAGTTAATTTTTCTCCAAGGGACTTGGCCTCACTGGTTCTTAGAAATCATTTTAAGTCGTATTGTCTAAAAAAGAGTTACTGGAAAACTGTGTTCCTAGGATTCTCATTAAAGAATATCTGCCCAATAGGCTTTAAAAATATATTCTTAGGCAGAATATCTGGGACATTGATATTCAAATTAATCTCTTTTCAACCTCATCACTCAGATTTTTTTTTCAGAGCTTCATCATAATTATGAAATTTTGCCAGGCATTTATTATGGACAAGCTGAATGTATTGTCCTCTTTCATTCTGCTGGGGCATTACAAACCCCTCCCCCAACATATACAACCCCCAACATATATGATCCTGTGGGGATGGTTCACTAAAACCAGTATTGGTAAGAGGGGAGAGGTTTAGCTGTAAGTGTTTGATTTTCAAGGTGCCTTAAGTTTTGACCCTCTTACCGCTGCTGTTTGTCTACATGAGTCTGTTGGAAGAAATCATCTTTTAATTTGGGGTCAGAAACCATTAGTATTTGGTATCAACCTGTGCTTTACAAAGCAATGATGTCAAAATCTTATCCCAGTGCTTGGAGGCTATTGATGCCTGGAGAGAGTACAACAGACTCAATGTAAAGAATAGAGATTGTTGTAGATAGATATATGTAGGTGTGGTTGCTTAGAGAAAAGGAACTGAAGCATTTTTTAAAGTCCAGAATGTCCAGTTAAGGTTAGAAAGGGACTGAATGTAAAGAGGAAGAGGAGGTACAGTACAAGCAGACTTTGTTCTTATGATTGGTTGCCAAGTGCTCCATGATCCTGCAATTGCCATTTACAATCTTCTCTGACAGCTTCCCCATAAAGTCTATGGGGAAGCTGTAAGGGAAGGTTGCAAACTGCTGCTGCTTATTAAGAGGATTTCTTCTTATCTTGGATGCTGTCTGAAAGAGCTACCTGCTGAGTTGAACACAGCCCCTCCACTGGACTGAGATCTCAAAGAACCAGTCCCTGTTTCTGCAGCTCAGTGAAGGATTCTCTTCCATGCGCTGAGGAGAGCTCAGCTCCTCCACTGGATTGCAGAAACAGGAACGAGTTTCCAAAGATCCAAGCAGTACTTCTTCAGCCTGGCAGAGGTGAGCACAATTGTTCTGAAGGCTAGAAAGATTTCTAGTCTTCCTAACTAGGAAGACTAGTGAACATGCTCTTTCTAATGATAATTTGGAATGCCTCTCCTCCAAACTGAATGATTTGGAGAAGGAGTCTTCCAATGTTCATGAGAATAGGGCCTGCCTTTAGAAAAAAGACAAAGGTAAGTGCACTTGAATATGGTGGAGTGGGCAGGAGGACTGGGTCTCACAAATGGGGTGGGGTGGGGAAAGGGCACAGTCTTCCCAGGTATGGTGGGACAGAGAGCGAGCCCTCTTACCAGTGCTCCACTTAATAACCCATGTGATTGTTTAACTATTGAAACTGAGAGAGCCAGAATTGCAGTCATAGAGTGACATGGTCATGTGTCATTTCATATAATGACCACTTCACTCATCAAACCAGGATTCTGGTCTACCTATTTCCCATTTATGGCCTATTTACTTACACATAATGGGTTTGCTTCAGGGCTTATCAATTAAATTGCTTCAGGTCTTATCAATTAAACAATGCCATTTAGCAAGATCAAGGAAGCATGCACTCTGTCAGTACACCTGTCTTTTGGATATCACCCCACCAGAGAGCCATGTGGCTCCCAGTTTGCCCTCCTTCAAGCAGTCTTCAAAAACAAGCTACTTTCCCCAAGGCCTTGGGTTAGGTCATTTCAGATAGGCCCTTTTACTAGAGGAAGGAGGGGGTGATGTAGAAATTATTTTCAGATGAATGTTATGGCTGTTGCTGTTGTTGCTGTTTTTAAGGTTGCTGTTCATGTAAAACTTTCCAGAATTGTTTTGGAAATTGGGCAGCCTAGAAATCTGAGAAATAAATAATTAAAGTCCTTGAGCCATATTCTCATTTTTGGTCTTTCTATAGGGAATCTCAGTTGACTAATTCTGAAAAAAAAAATATCTGGCAAAAAGCATGATTTCCTTTTGTCACTTTTTCTGTCTGACCATTATCCAGATAAATCTTCCTAGGTTGCTTGGTTTAATGCCTCTATATGTATCATCCATCTTTCTTTGTGAGCAAAGACTTGTATTTATACCTTTACTTTCACCACTCTCTCTCTCTCCCTCTCCCCATCAGTCTATATGTAGATAAAGGTATGTGTGAAAGAGACAGACAATAGGACTTATGGCTGTAATAAAGATTTGATTTGCTTCTATTGCTCCAGAATCATCCTTCCACCTATGTCATCTCATTCAATTATCTTTCTTTGGCATCTGGGTTGATTTAGTTTCAGCTCAGCTGCAGTGTACCTGAAATCACAATAAAGAGGATGTTTTCAATGGAAACAGCTGATCTCTGCAGGAACTCTGCCTCCTAATTTTAAATTTTAATTTTCCTGTAAAGATTCATTCCAAAATGCTAGTTTTTCACATAGGGTCTTTTAAGTGCCATAGAGGAATAGTTGCAGTTTTCTGTGTAAGATAGAGATTGTTAAAAAAAATAGTGCAAGGTACACAGGTGCACTGGGATGTGCACAGTATTTCTCAAAGTAGTGGACATAATGAATATTACTGGTCAGCTTCAAAATGCTTTTGGGTAATGGAAATCATGACAGTGTAGACATTTCCTTCAGCTCTTTTCAATCCAAAGTGATGGAAATCACTGAGTTAACAGCCCAAAATTAACTCTCTTGAGTGAATCATTATTTCATCCTATGAGACTGAAATATTGTGCCCTCCTTAGTAATCCATTGATTGTTTCTTTTTTTCCTCCCCTTAATCCTTAAGAATGACAATCATAATTCTTGTTCCGGGTCTCACTTCAGTGGGAATGAAATCTTTCTTTAATTAAACTCAGAATTGTTGCTCAGCAATATGAGCTAGTTTTTTTCTGACTGAATGGAGACAAAACCATCATGTCAGCTACCCCTAGCTGTAGGCAATATTGCCAAAAAAGAAGGGAGTTCAGAAATTCACTTTTTTCTGCATGCATGGCATGACAACTCTCAGTTCTAGAGCTGTGCCTTGAAATGAGATGTACTCAGAAGGTTGAATCTTTACATCTCTAGAAGGAAGTGTAAACAATATTTAAAATGTTATGGCAGGATGTTAAAGGAGACAAAATTTTCCAGACTGTTTAATAGAAATATATATATAATATAACATTAATTGTTAATTTCTGCAATTTGTGATTTTGTTGAGCTTTTTAGACACCCAGCTAACAAGCTTTATAACCAATGTGTTGATCTTCTAAATAAATAATTAATTTTTCTCATAAAATGTTGATGATTAACAGAATTTAGTATTTGCACAGCTAAATAATGGTCTTACTAGGGCAGGAGTCTTCAAACCTGGCCCTTTTATGACTTGTGGACTTCAACTCCCAGAATTCCTGGCTGAGGAATTCTGGGAGTTGAAGTCCTCAAGTCATAAAAGAGCTAGGTTTGAAGACCCCTGTACTAGGGTTTTACAAAATGGTACTAATACTTTCCGTGATCTTGATTCTATACCTCTCTTTATACAACCCAGGATTATATAACTTTTTTGGCTGCTGCTTCTCACTGCTGGCTCATAGTGAAGTGATCATCCGCTAGGACTTCAAGGTTCCTCTCACATTACTGTTTTTAAGCCAGGTCTTGCCTAATCTATACTTGTACCTATGATTTTTCCTGCCTAAATATAAAACTTTGCTTTTCTCCACATTGAAACTCATTTTGTTGGATAGGGCCCATTGTTCAAGTTTGTAAAGATCTTTTTGGATCCTGAGCTAGTAACATCATTGTTAAGTAAATCTGGCTTTCCCATTGACTTTGCTTGTCAGAAGGTCATCAAAAGCCATCATAAGACCTCGGGACACTGCAACCGTCATAAATATGAACTAGTTGTCAAGCATCCAAATGTAAATCATGTTGACCATGGGGATGCTGCAATGGTCATAAGTGTGAAAAATGGTCATAAGTCACTTTTTCAGTGTCATTGTAACTTGGAATGGTTACTAAATGAAATGTTGTGAGTCGAGGACTACCTGTACTCTGGGAACTATTAGTGAGGATCCCTCTTCACCATATTACTCCTACACAAAGTATCTGACCTAATTTGTCTCTTTCTCTTCTGGAATGCCCTTGTCTCTATTAGGAATCGATATTACATTTCAGCACAATGACCACTGATGAGAGGCGAGAAAGAGAGCTTCCAGATATTTGGTTTAACATTTGGATTTATGAGGCAGTACAAGGTTTGCTTATAGAAATTTGCTCTGACCCCATAGCCAATTGTTACATTTTTTTATTATTAATGAAGTAGTGAAGAGATGCTGAGCAATTACTGTAAAACAAATTAAAATGTAACAACAGTAAACTTTCTTGTGAGTAAGAAAAGTATCTACCAGTCATTTCTATCCTAGTAAAACTCTCATTTCTGTAACTTTTAACTGGCCCAAAAAGTGCATCATAGGGAAAAAATGTTTGAACTGGGGTATTTCAATTCGTCTAATTTAGAGAATGTGTCCAAAATCAGGAATAATTGCATCCTGAAGGAATACAATTTGTCGTGCCTGTGTCAGCATTGGCTGGTTGCTGCTGCAGTCACATGATGCTGAAGGGAACAGAAGGGAAGGAAAGAGGAGGGGAGGGGAGGGGAGGGGAAGGAAGGAAGGAAGGAAGGAAGGAAGGAAGGAAGGAAGGAAGGAAGGAGGGAGGGAGGGAGGGAGGGAAGGAAGGAAGGAAGGAAGGAAGGAAGGAAGGAAGGAAGGAAGGAAGGAAGGAAGGAAGGAAGGAAGGAAGGAAGGAAGGAAGGAAGGATTTTCCATGCTCCCTGTAAGGAAACTCAATGGGCAAGCTGGCAGGAAGTTGGAAGTTAATCTCCCTCCCACTGCTTTTTTGCCTACCTGTGGTCATTTTGTTTCACTGTTTAGGTAACAAAATATCTCTGACACAATGATCCAATAGGTTGTCTAGTTCTCACAAATGGCTAGAGTGGGTTTGGTGGAGTGGGTGGTGCTTTCACCTCCTGCCTTATCAGAAAACTTCTATGTATCTTCCACTTCCTTCTCAGATTGATGGAGTCTTCGGCTTCTGACTCAGGATCTCACTTCCTGCCTCATGGGAAATCTGCTACCTGTCCCCTTGATAAGTTACAGTACCCACTAGTTTTAGCCAAATACCTTTCGTGCCAATGGGAGGAGGGACAAAGGCTGAAGAAATCTCCACACACATGTTGATATCTGTTGACTTCCCACAGGGCAATCTTCATGTGAAACATAAGCATCACTGTCAACAATGGCACATTGTAGTAGTGCTGCTTAATGTAGGATTAACAAGCTCACAATCTGTTGGCATGCCGTGTTGGCACATCACTGGGGGATATGTTGGCTGAAACAGGGTATTCTTCCTGCTTCAGATAGCATTATACTGCATGACCTGTTAACATAATCTGTTGACCTGCTGGCATCCTCTACAGGCTATGCTAATAGATTGCATGGGATGTTGTTGTCTGGTCTCTCCCAATGGTATGTTACCAACTATACTAATATGAGATCCCCAACATGGGAAGCCATTAGGTTGCAAAAGACTCTACTAATTAAAAAAGAAGGTTTCTGTTGACTTGGGTCTCAACAGTATATAGGTAGGTGTCAAAGTGGACCAGACTAGGAAACTAAAGAGATGCTTTTTTCAAATTATATTTCTGACCTGACTCAATTTTTTTTATTTTACTATTGTCATGATTGTGGCTCTTCCTCCTGTTCCTCACCATTATCCCTCTACCCTTTACATCAAGTAGGGCATAGGCAGCACTAACGTATACACCTTTTTTCCATAGCTGTTGATTCCCACCCACAGCTTTTTGGCAGCCATAATCTTCAAGTCATCTGCATAGTACTGTTCTTGAGAAGGAATGAAGTTTGAAATTAGACAGTAACTGTTGGCTACTGTACACTAATCAATGATTCTTTCATCACAGTGAAAAAAATAGTTATAGGAAAGGGAAGAATAAAAGTTGATACTGACCTCTATTTCAGAGAGTTTACCAAGCCTTTATAAACTAAATAATATTACTAACTTGATACTGGTGTACAATATTCTGGTGGCCAGGGCTAAATTTTTGAGGTTCAGGAGAAACCTCAAGGGACAGATCAATGATGCAAGGTGGATTGCATATCGGGCTAGGATTTTTCTGGATTTTTTATGGTTTAAGATTTTTTTTTCATTTTAACTAATTTTTAAGACTTAAATTTTTTAAGGCTTGGAGGTGGGGAGAGCCAAAATGGCAGCTAAAGATACCACCAATCTTTAGCAGCTATGATTGAAAGATATCAGCTTCAAAAGGGAGCCTGAGGATGCATATGGGAGGTGGACCATATCAGTTGTTGATGTAGAGGATGTTGGGGGAATAATGGCTTGGTTCTCAAGGAGGAAACTCAAGGGTAAATTGATCCGGAATATGAATACTAGGACAGAAATTTGACAATGAATATGGAGACAAAGGAATAGCAAAAATAATGAAGAGGCTGCTATCTTTCACCGAGTGCAGTTCTGCATTGTTCTTTTAGCACTAGCGAAGTGTTATTTGGTTTATTAAAGGTCTTCTATTATTTGAAGCCTGAAAGTGAGTATTAACTGATAATCCTGGCCATTTCATCAAAGCTAAAATTATGAAAGACTGCAGACAGCTTTGAGTAGTTTGTTCAGCTGAATTTGTGGATTAGAACAGAATGAATATACCTTCCCTTTCTTGGGTGTCTTAGCTCCTTTGGAGACTGAAAACTATTGGCAGCTGCAGTCTTTTTGCAAATTTGTATTCATAATAATGCTTCTTGGATATTTTCCTTTTCAGATCTTGCATCAGCAGCCTCTACAGATATATCAAATCAACCCTAAAGCTATTCAACCGCATTTTGTATGATGGTAAGTAATCAGTAATAGACATTTCCCACAAAGTGTGGATAATACTAGTTTTTTTCCCCAGATAACAATCTAGGACTCCATCCAAATAGTAAAGAATCAGTGCATATCAAGGAAACAACAATAACAATGTAAGTCTGAGAAATAATAAGCAAGGAAGGAGGAAAACATGAAGAGACAAGCTTCAGATATTTACTGCTGCTGATATCCATTATTATAAGACACTTGCTGTCAAAAGGTTCTGGTGCTCATATGGAGCTAGTAAAAGTAATAATTCTGACTTCAAGCTTGAAATTCAAACAATACATGACTGGTAATTACCTAAACAGAGGGAGAAGGAAGGAAGATCAAGACCTAAGCATATTGAAAATTAATGTAATCTTATAGACATGGGATTTCCCCTGGCAATAGCAATCATCTCTATTAAGTAAACAAGATTAACAAATATACAAGACCCAGGGTGCCTAGTTTGGGAATACAAGGAAAGAGTGGCAAAGATAAAGGCCTTGTTCCTCAGGATCATGAAGAAATATAACATGGAAAATCTTATTTATGTTTGACAAAATTGCCTACAAGTAATCTGTGAATCTTAAAGTTATATTTTTGTTTATTTGGAAAACAAATGTAAAATTTGCCTTGAGCAAAACTGGCATAGCTATTAAACATGAGTTCTTACAGATCTTAGCCACAGCTTTCATTGTAGCTTAATTGCACATGAATGACTCCCAGACCCCATACTTTTTTCTGATAATTAATGAACATAGCTGAAAACATGCTTGGGGCGGGACAGAGGTGGAATTTAATAGGACAGATTCAGAAAACTACTATTTATAGCATGGTATGAAAGTTTCAGATTGTTCATCAACCTCCAAAGAGTTATGTGAAAATAAATTAACAAATACTACTTAATTATGGTATAAACAGCCTTGATGGTCCCAATACTTATTCATCTTGGACAGCACTTAGAAAAATCTGTGCATTGACAAAAATTCAATCTGTCAATTCCAAATGCTTGGATTCACACATACAGTATACTATGCTAATAGATTACAGCACTCTAGGTTCTTGGGAAGAACTTGATGTATATGAGGGCTAACACCAGCTAAATAACTGTCAGCTGTAATTTCACATTGTTGTGTACATAATAATGCTTGGTTCATTGATGTTGCTATACTGTGTGATGCTAGATCTGAAGAAAAGCAGTCCAAAAGAATTCCAAAATACCAGGATTGTAGATAGAAGTCTGAACACTTATGAAAAGAAAACAAAAAATCTGCTATTATACTAATCCTGATTGGGTTTCTTGGAGCAATGTTTAAATTACTCCCATGGTATTTGGAAATGTTGAATTTATCATACACAAACTTATTTGACTTCTGGGAACTGAGGTCCACTCATCTTACAGTTGCCAAGGTTGAGAAACACTGCTTTAAAGTATTTAAGCTTCTGATTTTCCTTGAAGATGCTGACAACATGCTCCCACTGAGATTGTTGTATGCCTTACATGACTAGGGGCTTGTAAAGCCTGCTCTTTTATTGTCACAAAATTATTGTCTTGCTGGATTCTGGTATTATTTATCTTAAGAACTAGATATGCAGTTTTCTCAATACACTTGTATATATTTATTCAGCATTTTTGTAAGTTATCTTCTGTAATAGCCCTCACTGCACATTTTTCCACTATTCAGTACAAATCTAATAAGTATCTCTAATAAATATACTTCATATTTCAATTGCCAGTCTCCATAAATTCCTGCAAGCCATAAAATAGAACCAAGTAGGCTTGGCAAAGCCAACTGTGATTTGTTTCAAGGAGGTTCTTTGTACTAAGGAAGGAACATAATTCTCCCATTAAAGACTTGATATGATTCTTGTTGACAAGGCACTGTGTCTTTCTTTCAGCAGTTCTACTAGCCAGAAGGTTCTTCTTTATAGATACTGAATTTAAACAAAATGTTTTTTTCTTTCTTCTTCATCGGTGACTTAAAGAGTCAAAAGAGTTTTCTGCACATGCACAGAAAGTCTTCTAGTAACTGCAAGACACTCCAAGCAATGCAAAGTGAAACAATGGGGCAACTTGATAGCTTTATTTTCAGAAGCATCATTGGAAGTTTGTTTTGAAAGTTTTGTACAACACTTCATCAGTTATGTTCTATGCATAAAAAGAAGCCTGGTATCACTAATTTCACACAAGACATTTTCTACACCCTTATGTTCAGGTAGCAGGTTGATGGATTGGTTAGATTTTTATTCTGCCTTTATTACTTTATAAGTAGCTCAAGGCAGAGAACTAACCTAATATTCCTTCTTTCTCCTATTTTCCCCAGTACAATAGGACACAGGACTACCCTGTGAGATGGGTTGGACTGGAGTGAGTGACAGGCCCAAAGTCACCCATCTGGCTTTCATGCTTAGGCAGAACTAGAACTTACAATCTCCTGGTTTTTACGTCAACGTCTTAACCACTACACCAAACTAGCTCTTATATGAACCCTTTAATTAAAATTTTATTCTTTATTGTACCAATTCTAGTCCAATAATAGATTGTACCTTTGTCAAATATAAAGCTAATTCTCTGGAACCTCAGATTGCACATAGTTGAAATACAGAGTATTTTAGGAAAGTATATGATTCCTGCAATCGCTCATCTTTTTTGGGTAGATTCTAACTGTTCTCCATCTTTGTCTTTCTCTAGTATTTCAGCTCTACTCTTCATTCCCCAGGTAACTAAATTAATGAACTCCTTTTCTCTTTGAAAGGAGAAAGTATAGGAAATGTTTCTCAACTCTATCTTCATAGATATCACCTAAATTAGATCCTTAAAACTGTAAATTCCAGCAGGTTTACTTGTGATAAGTTAATTAAAAGTATGTCTGTAGCTCTAAGAAAGAGTAAGAGAGATAATGTGACCTAGCACACTAAATCCTAATATATTTGAAATATTAATATAACAGCAGAGGAAACATAGCAGTATAATAATTCAGTTTTAGAACTGTAGATATATAGTTTATTAATCAAAGAGATAAATCAATTTCAAATGCAAAATAAGTTTTTGACCATAATTTTGCTGTTTTCCTGTTGTTGAAATCCCATGAGAATACATATCATGGGAGTTTTATATTACTAGGCATGTCTCTGTCATATTAATCTAATACTTTAGCTGTAAATACATGAATTCCTTGATGCAGAAAATAAGTCTATTATTTGTGGGTGAATTCTCCTTAGAACTCCTTAATGTTCACTTGCTCCTTCGCTATTCTTAGAGACTCTTTTCTCTTCCCACTCTTTCTTTCTGAACTACTTCTTTCTAGCAGCTTCTCCTTCCCTTGTTATTTTCTTCTACCATTTTATCCCTTTCCCAATGAACTGTCACAGAATTTCCCAGAGTTCTTGCATTGACTTGCTTCTGTTGCATTATGATGGACAGCAGAAAAAGGTGGACAGCATGGAAATGCAAGCAAGAGTTGATGGGAAAGACATTGCCACTTCTGTTCAATAAGCTTGAAAAAAGCAAAGTGAAAGGATAGCAGCTAAACTGTGAAAAATGGATGGCTGTTGGCAGCAACTAATAAATCCCAATGTTAGCAATACGAAATCAGAGTCAGATTAAGACGGTTCTAGATTTGCTTTATATTACATTTATGTATATTTTAAACTCCTCCACTTGGGGTTTTGTCTAAATATAGAATTAATGTGTTCTGTTGCAAACTTTGGAAGAAGCTAGCATATTGCCCTTAACCATGATAGAGAATATGGGTGAAAGATCTTCAGAAAGTACCAAGCTGCAAGAGGAAATAGCTAGCTTGACCAAAGAAGTGCCTACAACTCCAAAGACCCATAGCATAACCACCAGAAGGGGCTTCAGAGTGAGAAATGGAAACATTTCAGCTGCAAAATTGCTGCAAGAGGAAATTGCTAGCTTAGCCAAAGGAGACAGGCATATAAGTTGTGGCAAGCACCTGATATTCTGAAAAATAGGTGAATCGTGGTAGTAAGCAAAGCACGTGCTTAAAATATTGACACGCCTTGAATATATAATCTGCTAATTATACTGCACATGATGGATATATGATGTAGTAGGTGTAGGAAACCTTTAGGAGACAGTTGGAGAAAATGTAATCTCATAGTACCTCAGCCAATGAAGAATGAGGAGGTATGGGTGGCCGGTTTAGGGAATGCATAAAAATAATTTGAGATGATGAGTTTTAGAGAGAACCAAGCTATGATAGCTTCTCCCCACTTATTGCAATAAATGAAACAAAAAGTTCTTCACTGTATCTTGGCTGGGTTTTGGCCAGGCAAACTTGCTACTAGTTGTGAAAGAAAGTAGCTGAGAGCATCTAACAGCCATAACTCTCTTCAGTAGTTCACTTCCAAGAACTTTGCAGAATCTGTAGGTCTCAATGTCTTAAGCAATGTTCTTGGTGATCCCATAGTCACAGATAGGTTCCCCCCCCCTATGGGGCAGAACATATTTCTTTATGAAAACTATTGAAACATCCTTTATTTATTTTTTTTTCCTCTCCTTATGATATTTACACTTTTTCATCAATAGTTCAGAATTACCTTCCAACTGCTAAAAAATATTGTCTTGCTCCTCCTTATAGCTTTTCTTCTCAGGAAGTCTGTTTTACACAGTAAGTCCAAGAATGAACCCAAAAATTACCTTTGTCACATAACCATGACCCTGTTAGGGAAGAAGGTTTCCCCTGTAAAGAAGAGAGAGGGTGGCTGACATTTCTCTTCTAAATCCAATTTAGACCCCTTCTTGGTGAATTGAACCATAACATTTTGTTATTTGTGCTCTGGAGTAATATCATTTCTTTCTCTAGATCTCAGCAATTGCTTCGTCAGAGACTATTTGCAATAGTCTCAAAATTCCAAATAATTCCTTTCAATTAAGCTCACAATTTAACAGAGCCCAGCTCTACTCTATTCTACACCACAATTCCACAGTCTCTCTTACCAGCTTGGTGTGGCCCATTGCTTACAAATTTCAGTCC